CATAAGAAATAAAGTTGGATTAACATTGGATTAACAGTGTTTCTATTGAACACCAAAATAGTTTGTCGGTTACTACTAAATTGTGTCCCTGGTACAAATACTCTGGGATAAGCCCTCCAAAAATAACGGCACAATATTTGTATATGCTGACAACTCCCAAATACAGGTGGGCCTTTTAACGTGCAAGACCTAAGGTTATCCCTTCAGCACTACTTCAGGGCTGTATTAAAGGAACCCCATTACAAAACCGTGTGTGTCCTTGCACACATGTTGTTGAAACACTTGCCTATATTTTACTGTTCTGTCCTTTTTACAGAGAAGTGTACAAAGAGCTAATTTGCCCTTTGTTAATCAAAGAGCCAAGGAAGTTCATCTGATTTCCATGTATCTTTTCTTCTCCTAGACCAAGATTAACAAGTAACAGCACAGATAGCCAAATTTTTAGTAGTAGCAATTAAAATTAGCTCAATTATGGTTCTAAAGGAGTAATCTTATATACTTTTGGTAGGTATAGTTATCCGATGCATATGTATTCATCGGTTATTTTGGCTCAGATGCGTTGATTCTGCACCTTTGTAGATTTTATACTTACCTAGCTATGGCACATGGGTAATGCAAATAAATGTTGATGGATTGATCTTCTCCCGGAGCAAGACCTCAGAGGACGCCTACACAGCAGAAGAGCGTCCCAAGGGCAAACGGGGGAAACGGATCGAACCCGAAAAGGGGACGCCATGCCCCAGGAGAAGGCGCTCCCGGGCAGACTCCCCAACCCCCCCGCTTCCCCCCAAGGGGACCAAGAGGGCTTGGCCAACCCACACTGGGCAGGCGGGCACGACAACTGCGAGCAGAGCCCAAAACTGGCTGCGCCACCGGGCATGAGGCGAGCCAGTCGGGCAGGGTGAACGAAGGGCACAACCGTCTGCACTCTCTGACTCTTCCATATCAATCGAGGGTCCTCCAGGGATAGAGACCCTTTCCGAGGAAGCAGCAGGAAGCCCTCCCTTGTAGAAGGTTTGGAAAGAGAGGTTAAGATTCCTCCATGGGCCTGTCCGTCCTGGGCCAGTCCCACCATCAGGTAGCCAAGCAGCAGGTCCTGGGTCCTGGGAAGGTGGCGACAGGGGAGCCCCCCCACCCAAGTCCGCCCTCCCGTCTTCGGGAAGGCCGGGATGGGCATGTTCGGCAGGCGACCCTTCAGGGGACTGGAAAAGTCCCTCCTCCAAAAAAAGAGACACTTTTTTCCAACTGGGGCCACCATCCCTTTGCTCACCTCGAAATGAGGTCCGACTCCCTTTCCGTACATGGAGCGGGGGATGGGAGGGCGCTGGGCTTGTCCTTGGCCTCAGGCAGCCGGAAGTCTTGGGTCATCTCTATCCCCTCAGCCAGTTTGGTCTTGGCAAGGAAGTGATTTTAGGGAGAGCTGGAAAAAGTCATTTAAAGGTGAACAATGACACGCTGAAGCCATCCATAGCCAGACAGTGTGGCAGGATGATGCTCTGAGACCCAAAGCATCCTGGAGGCTGGCCGGTTTCTCAGGAGGTCTGGGAACCTCAAAGACCCGTATCTATCCTTTCCTTTGATCTCATGAGGGCAAGAACAGCCGCTGCTCGCGATGAGGAAAAAGCACGCTGCAGGATTTCGAAAGGGCAGAGGAACTAACATGCGCTGGATTATGGAGAAAGCCAGAGAGTTCCAGAAAAACATCTATTTTTTGCTTGATTAACTACGCAAAAGCCTTTGACTGTGTGGACCGCAGCAAACTGTGGCAAAATGGGAGTACCACCTTGTCTATCTCCTGAGAAATCTATACTTGGGACAGGTGCAACAGTTAGAACTGGATATGGAACAACTGATTGGTTCAAAATTGGGAAAGGAGTACGGCAAGGCTAGGCTGATTGTCCCCCAGCTTATTTAACTTATATGCAGAATACATCATGCGAAGGCTGGACTGGAGGAATCCCAAACCGGAATTAAGATTGCTGGAAGAAATATCAACAACCTCTGATATGCAGATGATACCACTCTGATGGCAGA